TCTACTATTGCGAAAAACAAAACAGTGCAAGGAAATTGTTCATATGAGCAAGCACCCCGGTGAGAAATCCTCCACTTGTCTGGAGAGGTTTTCGTCATCCACCCAGATCTAGAAGATCTAGAACCAACAGACCTTGTGCCGGTCCAGGTCAGAGACCTTTGCTGCCTTGTGCTGGTGAGATCCCAGGGGTACAGGGGTCCCCCTTCTTGTTTGGTCTGACTGTGATGTCTTCTCTTTTTTCTTCGAGACAGGGTCTCGCTGTGTAGCCCAGGCTGGCCTCGAACTCGGGGCAATCCTCCTGCCTCAGCCTGAGTACTGGGATCACAGGCGTGCGCCCCCCACACCGGGCTGACTGTGATGTTTTCAAGCTCCTCAGTCCTGCTCTGTTCCTCGTCGGTCCTCTGCTCTCTGGCTCCCTGGCTTCTTAGCACATGGAGGAGCAGAGTCCTCATGCCAGGCCGTTTCTGGATCTGGGACCAGGACCGTCCAGACTTCTTCCGAAACAGATGCCCGTCTTTCCGGGGAGAGAGTAGGAACCGGACTAGTGTGGCTGGCATGGCTGTTTGTCCAGAATTTTTCTGGTTCTAGCACTGAAAACTGCATCCTGAGAATCCTGCTGTCCTGGCAAACGGGGACTGGCGCCATCCAGTGTGCACTCTGCTTTGGTAGGAGGGTGAGCAAGCCCTGGTTGCTTGTGTGGCAATGACCTTCCATCATCTTCTTTTCTTTTCTTTCTTTCTTTCTTTCTTTTTTTTGAGACAGGGCCTGGCTCAAATTCACTATGAAGTCTAGGCTGGTAGGGAACTCTCAGTGATCCTCCTGCCTCAGTCTCCTGAGTGCTGGGAGTGCAGTTGTGTGCCACCAGGGCCAGCTAATCCTATGTCTTCTATTCCCGAACAAGGGGTGACAGCTTCTCTGTCAGGGGATAGGAAGGTGGAAAAGACCCACTTGAGACTATAGGAGAGAGAGCAGCCCGGGGAGGCAATGCACCTCCTCCCTCAGTGCCAGGCTCACTGCCTGGTGCTGGCATGGTGAGGACACAGACCCTCTGCCTGGGCCTGCCATGCTCCCTCATGGGCCAGGTGGCAGGAAGGAGAGGTGGTGGTGGCTGTGCTGGTGGCTGCTGACTGTCCCCAGCCCGCACCTTCCCCACCACAGCCAGGTGTGGCCCACCCCTCGCCCACACAGCCAGAGCTTGGAAAAGCACCCCAGAGCTCAGCTATGCCAACTGGTTTGGAGCCGTGAGGAAGGGTGCAGGAAGAGAGCCAGGGAACGGCACAGGATTCCTGGAGATGCGGGAGGCTGGCATGACGGCCTGGGTTGCCTCCCCCAGCCTCCTTTCCTCATCTGGCGTGTGGGCTGTCTAGGCCTTGGCACCAGCCAGGGACAGGCGTCGAAGGTCCAGAGCTGTTCTCCACCCTCTCCTGCCAGGCGGGAGCTGCCCGGGTGTCTGGGCCTGGCCAGGTCCCTGCAGGCCGGGCAGGCTGGGGCGTGCCGGGAGGCAGCTCGGGGTGGTGGTGGTGGCTCTTACACAACCCTGGCTCTGCTCGAGAGGCGGGAGGGTTGAAAGGTGCCTGGCAGCTCCCCAGGGCCTGACACTAGGCAGGGAAACCACAGCCCGAAACTCCCGGGTTTCTCAAGGGCGGGAGGCGGGAGTTTTTGAGGCCTGCTCTGCCGCGGCTGTCTCCTTCCTTGGAGGCTGAGGGGCTGCCAAGCCTGTCGGGCACTGGGTCACAGGCTCCTGGACACTCAACGGGGCCACAGAACATGGGAAGCTTCCGCTGACAGCATTGCTCCTTTGTCCAGAGTCCTGCAAACATCGCAAGCCCAACCGCTTAGGTGCAGATGGTGGTGGGGAGAGGGAGGCTGAGAACACCAGTTGCCTAGATTCTATTTTCAGCACTTTTCTGAGTATTAACTCATTCAGTTCCCTTTGAGGCAGGAACCGGGATGTGGTCTCCAGCTTTTAAAGCTGAAGCAGCTGCCCGGTTTCACACCATGAGTGTGGGATTTGAACCCTGGGAAGCTTTAACCCAAGTATGTGTTTTACTTGGGAAATCAGGGAGAACCAAGGCCTGAGGAATACACTGGTGTGGGCCAAGGCTGCCCAAGTGCCCATGAGGCTGGGCAGGGACAGGCCTGTGGGCTGGCTGGAGAGGGGCCGGAAGCCCAGGGCTGTTCCTGAGACAAGTCCCCAAATTCAAACCTGCCTGTGGCCATGCGCCCCGGCTGGGAGCTCACCTCAGGCTGGGAACAGACCTGCACCAGCTCCTCCCAAGAGGCAGGTTCGAAGGCCAAGCATGCAGTGTCCGTGCTGCCTATGAGCATTCACGAATGGAGACCACAGGGGACAGGAGGGACAGCCAAACTAGTCACCTGTCACCAGAGGAAGGCAGTAACTCCAGCAGTCGCGGGATGCCACATGGCGTCCTCCTGTAGCCCCGACCACTTTGCTCTCCTCTAACAAGGAAGGTTCCTCCATTCCAGGATTTCAGCCCCAGCTCCGCCCCTGAGCGCTCGGTTATCACCTAGGCTCTGGCATACTGACTGGAGGAAAGGAGGGTGCCACCCACGTATTGATTTTCAGTTGTTTTTGACCTACAAAAGCATCCATTTACATGGTTCAACCCCATCCGAAATTGTTGTACCTCCCTATAATAAACGGAAGTGCCCGAAACCTGAGCACAGGCCTCGACACCACCCGCACAGCAGGTGCTCAGTAAATGCTTGGTGGACGCCAGGGGTGGTTCCGGCTCCAGGCGGGCACAAGCTTTCCCCACCCACTCGTGGCCAGGCCAGCTGCACAGGACAAGGTCAGGCAAAGCAGCTCCTCGAGGGAAATTCACATTCATCCCGCTCCTCACCACCGCAGAATCCGGGACAGACTCCGCGGTCGTCTGCAGTGGACACCGAGCGCTCGCTGCGCCTGGGCTCTGCAGCCGCCAACCCAGGACTGCCTGGAGTAAGGGATACTGCCGCAGGTAGAAGGCGCTGTCCCTGCGGGTGACGGTGACGTACGGGCCCCCCACCCCTCCGAGAACGGCACAAAGGCGGGTCAGGGCGGCGGGCGAGCCATCCTTCCCAGTCGTGCAGGGCGGGTCCTGGGTCCACGGGCGTTGGGTGAGGGACGAACAAAGAGTCGCACGTGTAGTCCCCGGGGACCCCACGGTGAGGGCCCCCAGGGTAGGCGCGTGCCCGAGCCCGGCGAAGCCCATTTGCAGCCATCGGGGGCGCCGCGCTGTCGGGGGGCGAGCGCGGGGCCCTGCTCAGCACCTGCCCCACGTTTTTCAGGCCAAAGGACAGGGAGCTCAGGCTTGTCCTCAAAGGAAAAGGTACTGGGCAAAGCCCAACAGGGCAGCGGCCCACATGGCACGTGTCCGCGGGGGTGCGGGCGCTAAGCGTGCGGGGTAGGGACCGCGGAAGGGGGCCACGTGGGTAGCGCCACGGACCCGCGCTCCTCCTTCCCGCGGGGAAAGCGCGTGCTAAGCCCCGCAAGGGGCCGCGCGGTGGGGATGACAGGCTCGCTCGTGACCCAAAGAACCCGAGAAAGGCGACTCAGTCTCTCTGTTGGCCTCGACTTAAAGCTTTGCTAGACTTGGCATCCGCCCGGCCACCTCGGTTCCCAACTCCAGGTTTTCCCCATTTCCAGAACAGCGGCCCCAGTAGACAGGCGGCAGGAATGGCCAATGGCAGGGCGCAAAGCGTCAACTTTGTGTTCGCCCGCCACTCTCAGCCAATGAGCACTCGTTTTTCTGGAGTCCCGCCTTCCGCGTCGGGCGCCCCCTTCTGGCCACTCGGGAATGGACCGTGTCTGTCGCCATTTTGTGTGTGGCACCGGTATATATATATTTTTTTGTGGAATTTCTTCCTACCTATTCTATTCTTTCTTTCCACAGAGCAAATTTCTTAGTTCAATAGCCAAGTGCAGTGGCGATAAAGAGAGCATAGTATGTAGTTTGGGGCGGACTGTGTGGGTTGTAGCGCCACGTCACGCCACGTTCGCAGAGTCCGACGCCATCTTGAGTGTGGCGTTTCCCTGGTTCTCTCCTCAGGGCTCCGCGTGGTTCCTTAAATGGCTCACCCAATTTGAAGGAGCCCCCAAGGACTCTCCCAGCTGGCCAAAGGGACAATGATTCCCTCTAATAACTCCGCAGTATTCATGTTCCCTTCGAAGCCCCCAATTGTGATGAGCGGGGTGCCCTCGATGGCGGGGCGCGCCTCCAAAAGGAGGCTTCCTGAGGCTGTCGCGACGGCGGGGACCGCGCGGGGCGGAAGCTGGCCAGTACTGGGTAGCGGGGACCGCTACTAGGTGCGCTGCCCTGGGACTGCCCCGCTCGAGGGCTCGGATATCGAGTCCCCTCGGAGCATGGTCCCCGAGCGTGTGCCTGGCACGGTGGCCGCTCGTCGTCTGTTTGGACGCCGGGCCACCGGGTCCTTTCCCGCGGAATCGGGGAGCCTGGGTCTGCGGGTGGGGGCGGACGGGGCAGCCCAGGCACGCGGGTCTCAGCCTCGTGACCTCGGCGCTCGTCGTGGACTTACGTCCACTTGTACCAAGACAACTCCAGCACCAAGGTGCCCAGGCGCGGAGCTGGGCACCGCCCGGGGCAAGCGCGGCCCAGCACCCCGTCCCCTCCCCCTCGCTGGCAGCCGTCGTGCCCGAGGAGTTGGGGAAGAGGGAGGCGGGGGCTGGGCGGGCAGCTTTGCCGCGCTTTGGCTCTGCGTCAGCAGCCCCAGCAAAACAGTGGCGGGAGCGCGCCCTAAGCACGCGCGCGCCTCCGCCCCCGCACCCTCGGCGCCGGCGCCGAGACCCGGCAAACTTAGACCCTGAATGACAGTGCGGCTGGCGACTGCGCAGCGCGGGCAATGTCGAGGCACTGCCGCTTTAAGCACGCTTGTCCATTGTTCGGAGTCGAGCCAATGAGCGAACGTCCGCTCCCTCCACTCAGCCAATAGCGCTCATGCAAAGGCTACCGAGCGCCGCCCACTAATCTATATTAAAGGTTCTGGCGCCGCGTGAGTCCCCCACTGGCGGCTCTGAAAAGCCATCTTTGCATTGTTCCTGACCCGGCTCCTCGCTCGCCGCAGCCACCTCCGCCGCGCGCCTCCGCCGCGGACTCCGGCAGCTGTCTTGCCAGAGTCCCCGAACTCTCGCTTTCCTTTTCAACCGCTGCACCGGACTACCAGCGAGCCCCACCATGTCAGACGCGGCCGTGGACACCAGCTCCGAGATCACCACCAAGGTGAGCCGGACGCCGCCCGTCCCCTCGGGGTCCTCGCGCCGCCGCCGGAGCGGTGTTGGGCACGCGTCCGCTGGGCCGTCCGGAGCCCGCCTGGGGCCGATTCCGCCCAGAGACCTACGGCCGCCCGCTCTTTATGCGCGGGGGAGGGGGCGGGAAGCGCTCCAGGCACCGCGATGCCCGTCCGGGAGTGGGCCGGGGCGTGCGCGGAGGCCGGGCCGCGGCCCCCGGAACTTGTCCGCGCGAAGTCGCAGCGGCGGCGGGGGAGGAGCGGGGCCGGCTTGGGGCTCGCGGGCCGGTGCGGCGCACGGGAATAACTTTGGAAGTCGAGCGCTCTGGGATCGGAAGTGAGGGCGCGTGTGCGGGCGCGGGCTGCCGCGGGAAGTGGCGGCGGACGCCCCCCGTACGCGCTGTTCTTTGTTCGGCGCTGTCGCGGGCATTCGCGCGCTGCCGAGAGCCGCTGTGGTTTCTGCGGACCGAGCCGCGGCGGGGCGGGTGGTGCGGCGGTCGGGAGATAGGCAGCGGGCTGGAGACGTGGGTGCTCTGCGCCCCGGGCACCCTCGAGGGAGCGTGGCGGCCGCTGCAGGCGTTCTCCGCGGACCCGGCCTGGCCCGGAGGCGGCCCACGCGCCCGGGAGGAGGAAGCGGAAAGGGAGGCGGCGCGCGGAGCACCCGGCGCCCCCGGCCTTAGCCCGCGTCCCGCGCGCCCCTGCCACCCGCTCCGCGCCGGAGCCGCCCGGGGAGCCCCCGCCTTCGGCGGCAGCGCAGCGCTTCGCACTCCGCCTGCTCGCTAGCAGCCTTGCGGCCGTGGTCTGCACCCCTCGAGCCTCCGCCGGGCCTGGCGCGAGTCACCTTGGTGTCTCCTTAGCTCGAGTGCCCCTGGCGTCACCTTCGCCTCTCCCTGGGGCGATTCCCCGGGCGGAGCGAGTGTCGTCTCTGGAGGGGTTTTCGCAGTCCCCTGTGGGCCGCTCTGGGCATCGGCTTGGGGACCTCCCCACCCCACCACGCTCTCTGCTCTTCTCCGGGCGAATTCCCGCGCGGCGCGGGGCCCAGGGGAGCGCGCCGCCGCCGGTCTGGGAATCGAAACACCCGCCCAGGGCGGCCTCCCGCGGAACCTGGCCGCCAAATGCGGAGGCGCGGGCGGCGCGTCCGGCCGGCGGGGGGCGCGCCGCAGGGAGAACATTGCCCTCAGGAGCCGAGCCTCCGAGGCCCTCTGCGCTCGGCCGGCGAGCCACGTGCTCCCTGCGCGCGGTGCGTGGCGAGGCCCGCGCGCCCAGGCCGCCGGGTGGGGGTGTGCGCCTGCGCGCCGCGACCTCCCCGCCCCCACCCGCTCCCCGGGGCTGTGGCCGCCAGGGGGCGGGAGCGGGCGGCCCCGCGGCCCGGAGTGCAGGAGCGACGCGACCCGACCGACAGGTGCCCGGAGCTCGGCCGGCCGGGCAGTGAACCGGGTTCCGTGGGCGTCGGTGGCGGGCCGAGGCGGGAAAAGTTTCGGCGATGCGGCTCTTGGAGCAGTGGTGCGCGCCGGCTGGGCCAAAGGCGCCCTGGGTGAAGAAACCGGGTTGTCCGGTTCCCCTCGTCGGCCAGCTGTCCGTGTGGACGGTGTTACCGAGCCGCCAGGGCCTGGTCGCCCTGCGCCCCAGGCTAGGCGCGGCCGCACCGCCCTCCCGTGTTTGTTTACGGCCGCCCGCCGCTGCTCCACCGGGGGAGGGCGGGGCTGGGCCGGCCCAGGGTGCTGCCCGAGGCCACTGGCCCGAGTGGCCCGTCCGCCCGGCCCGACAGGTTCGGCCCCGGCCCCTCGCTGCGCCCCCAGCGTGCGTGTGTGCGGGCTGGGAGAGCGGGAATCCGCCCCGAGGCCTCCTGCCCCGTGTAACAGGTGATCCGGGCTTGGGGCAGAACTGGCCTGCGGCGCGAGCTGCTCCACCCGCTCTGGGTCCTTCCTGACCCGATCGCTTCCCGCTTCCCCACCAAAGGACCTAAAGGAGAAGAAGGAGGTTGTAGAAGAGGCGGAGAACGGAAGAGACGCCCCTGCTAATGGCAACGCCGTGAGTGTCCCGCTCTCTGACTCAGACTGGGCTTGGCCGAGCCGGCTGCGCGGCGTCAGTGTTTCCGCGGGAACAGGGAGGGTGGCCGCGGCGTCCTCGGCAGGGGCTGAGGGCCGTGTGTTCTGTGGCAGAACGAGGAGAACGGCGAGCAGGAGGCAGACAACGAGGTAGACGAAGAGGAGGAGGAAGGCGGGGAGGAAGAGGAGGAGGAGGAGGAAGGTGATGGTGAGTAGTCGGGTCTGGCTCCGCACCTGCGCAGTGGAGCTGGGGCTGAGCCCCGCGCCCCAGACCGGCAGGCCAGCCTTCGGGGCGCTCTCCTCGATGAACCCGGTCACCTTAGATTCCCACCTTGTTGGGGAGGAAGCAGGGGCAGGCTGGGGACATTCCCCGGACGTGTCGCAGCCCCCTGGCAGGTGGGTAGCATGGCTCACCCGGTCTTGAATCCTCCAGGTGAGGAAGAGGACGGAGATGAAGATGAGGAGGCAGAGGCAGCTACGGGCAAGCGGGCAGCTGAGGATGACGAGGTAGGTCCCCCTCCGGCCCTTTAGGCTTGTCAGCTGAAGCTCTCCTTGGGGACAGTGTTGCTGGCAGAGTGGGAAGGGGTCATGGGGCTGGTGCTGGGGTCCTGACTCCCCCGAAGGAGCCAGGAGGTCCCGCCAGGGCTGTGACACTCCTTCCTCTCTGCCCAGGATGACGACGTTGACACCAAGAAGCAGAAAACCGATGAGGATGACTAGACAGCAAAAAAGGAAAAGTTAAACTAAAAAAAGGCCACCGTGACCTATTCACCCTCCACTTCCCGTCTCAGAATCTAAACGTGGTCACCTTCGAGTAGAGAGGCCGCCGCCCGCCCACCGGGCAGCGCCCCCTGCAGACAGCTCTCCACCGCCTACCCAAAACCACAACGCGAATTCGCCACAGGGGAGGAGAAAACCAAAACTTCCAAGGCCCTGCTTTTTTTCTTAAAAGTACTTTAAAAAGGAAAATTTGTTTGTATTTTTTATTTACATTTTATATTTTTGTACATATTGTTAGGGGTCAGCCAGTTTTGATGATCCGGATGACCAAACCAGCCTTCGGAGCATTCTCTGTCCCACTTCCGACTTTACTTGTGGTGTGACCATGTTCATTATAATCTCAAAGGAGAAAAAAAACCTTGTAAAAAAAGCAAAAACAACAACAAAAAAACAATCTTATTCCGAGCATTCCAGTAACTTTTTTTGTGTATGTACTTAGCTGTACTATAAGTAGTTGGTTTGTATGAGATGGTTAAAAAGGCCAAAGATAAAAGGTTTCTTTTTTTTCCCTTTTTTTGTCTATGAAGTTGCTGTTTATTTTTTTTGGCCTGTTTGATGTATGTGTGAAACAATGTTGTCCAACAATAAACCGGAATTTTATTTTGCTGAGTTGTTCTAACAACGCTGTCTCAAGAGTGGTTTTTCTGGGTTTCAGTTTCTTAAGGGCTCTGGGGAAAGGGTTGGGGGGGAATCTGTTGGGGGGCTGAAGATGCTTTTTGTGTTTTTGTTTTTGGTACCAGGGATCGAACTCGGGTCCTTGCACTTGATAGCAGGCAGTGAAACCACTGAGCTAAATCCCCGGCCCTTGAAGATGCTTTTTGAGGGGGGCACAGGGTCTGGTGTGGGTTGTTGGGGACTGAGCTGCAGCTGGCTTTTTCTTTTTTAGATAGTCTCACTGTAGCCCAGGCTGGCCTCAAACCTTTCTGTTATCGTCCTGCCTCAGCCTCTCGAGTACAGGGATTACAGGGATGTGGCACCAAGCTTAACCATGCAGCTGGCTGCTTAGCACAGGTTGGGGTGCTGGGCGCTGGAGAGGAATTAGGGGGCTGCTTCCTGGTTCAGCCCCTGCTGTGGTACCAGGGGCCCTCCCCGGTGTCGTGACTTAGGGGGTGTCTCCTGATAGCGGGATAGCGGAGAGCCGGGCCGAAGGCGGGATCCCCGAGCGGTGGAGCTCCTCCGGGCAGAGGCCAAGTAGGGATTTAGCGGCGCCTCGAGGCGCCCTCTGGTGGTGGCCCTCGTCATCGCCGGCCCTTTGGGGTTTTCTGGGGCGGCTGGCTGTGCCGCTTACCCGGTTGGGCCGGGCGTTCGAGCTAGGTCCTGAAGGACTGCAGCCCCCTTACCCCAGGACGGAAGGTGGGCAGGGGACGAAGGGCCTCCGGGTGAGCGATGGAGATGGGGTCTCGGCTGAGGCGGTGTTGGGCTGCTGTTTCCCCTCAGAGGACCCTGGTGGTGTGTTCAGCAGGCAGGGCAGCTGGCGGTGGGGGCGGGAACTGAGGGGCCACGTGGGTCTGACACCTGCCTCCCTGCCCAATGCACTGGCCACGCAGGGTCACCCCACACCTTCGGGAGGACTCACTTGGGAGGTCGGAGACTGGTTTATCACCAGAAAGCTCTTTGTGGTCCCAGGCCATCCTGCTGAGACTTCTGCCCCCTTGCTGTGTTTTGAGGCCCCACGGATTCCTCTCCACATCTACAGCCTAGGGAGGGGCAGGTAACTAGGGCAGGCAGGCAGGAGGCAGGCCTGAAATCCCAGTTACTGCACTCCCTAGGCTGAGGCAGGAGGGTCCCAAGGTCCAAGCCAGCCTGGGCAGTTAGCAAGCAAGACCCTGTCTCTAAAAATAGACTGCGGATGTAGTTTAGTGGTTAGAGGCCCTGACTTCAATCTCTAGCACAACCAAAAACAAAATAGCAAACACGAAAGCTCAGGATATTTATTTGTGGCTCCATAGTGCTCACACACCTTGGTGCTCATATACCCCGCACGCACGCTTGGGGGACCTGTGGTAATCAAGGAGAACTTCCCTGGGGAGGCGGCATTGAGGGAACCTTGAGGAGAGCGGGCAGCGCACGAGTCTCACCCAGTCCCCAGGGAAGAACGCGAGCAGCTCAGCCACAGCCAAGTTAATAGGGGCCTCAATCTCTGCAAAATGGGGACAATCGCGTGGAACACAAGCCAGGCCCCGCCTCCCTGCCCAGGATCCCTAGACTCGGGGTCCCAGCGGCCACCCCTCGTTGCAGCAGATGTTTGTCCCGCAACCGCCTGGCTGCTCCCAGAACACTCTGTCCCCTAGTCCTGAGCCCAGCACACAGTCTGGGAACCTGCCCAGTGCGTTCCAGGCGACCTTCATCCCACTCCCCGAGTCCCCTCCCCTGGGCCGGACAGGGCCGCCCCAGGTTGGAAGATTAGCAGGGCACGGGCGCCCTCTGGTGGTCAGAGGGCCGGTGGCGTGCCTCGGGTCCGTCCAGTCCTGGAAATAGCCCTTTCGTGAGCCCCGGGGCCGGGAGGTGGCCTCGGCCACCGCTGCCTTCCCGGGCCTCCAGCCCTTCCTCTCCGTGCCGACGCGGGGCAGACACGGGAGTGTCGTTCTCCGTGCCTTCCTTCCGGGCAGCAGAGAGCCATCTCAGGGCCAGCGTGAGGCTCGGGGCTGGCTCCGCAAGGTCAGGATCCAGCCTGGCCTCCGGTCCTGAGCAGCCCCTGGGGACTGACGGGCTGTACTCAGGACTCCCACGCCCTCCTCGCTGGGGACAGAATCCACTGCCTGCCCGCTGCTCCGGGCCCCCGCGGGCCGATGCCAATGTCTTGGGTGTGGGTCCGGCCGCGCACCTCAGTCCCTGTCGCTCCGCGGTCTCCTCCAGGTGACAACTCCCACCTCACTGCCGGCCCAGCAGCCCAAGCCGGGACACAGGTGTGCTCACGTCTGTCCCCTGCGGACCTCCCCTCCGGAGGCCTCAGCACCAGCGCTGCTACCCGTGGTGGCAAGAGAGCCAGGGGTCACCTGGGACAGCCCCATCCCACATTGGCACTGAGCAGATGCTGTTGCTGCTGAGGACTCCGGAAGGCAGAGAGGACATCTGCTGCGTTTGCCACCAACTGCCATTCCAGGCCGTCCTCTTGGGGACAGTCGCCAGAAGCAGCGTCTGGTTTTTCGCTTGGAGAAATCTCCTACTCTCGCTCCCCTGCAGTAGAACCTAGGACTTGGTTCTGGCCAATCAATGCCCCGAGGGCCCTGGCCATTCTGATTGGCTTAGAGCTGGCATATGACTGCAGTCATCCAATCAGGGTGAGCCCTGGGATCCTTGATGGGAAGGAGGGGGATGCTGTCTCTGCCTCTTTTTCTGTTGGTGCTGGGCCTCGTGCATGCTAGGAAAGTGCTCCACTACTCTAGCCACATCCTCAGCCCAAATATTTGGCTTTTTCCAGACAAGAGCATCCTACGTAGTTCAGACTGACCTTGAACTATGTAGCTCAGGCGGTTTCAGACTCATAGGGCTCCTCCTGCCTCAGCCCCCCGAGTGCTGGGATGACAGGTTTTCTTTCCACAGGATTCACTGGGTCTTGCACAGCCTGGGGTGTTGAGCCTCCAAGAGGAAGGTTTAACGGGCCATTCTCTCTGAATTTATGTGACCTGGATGTTTTTCAGTAGAGCCTATTAACATCCAGAAGGACCTCAGTGTCCAGAAAGAGCTGATCCTGCACAGCACTGACCCTTGCCAGGGTCGGGCACATTTGCTGATCCAAACAGCGGGTGACCCCTCTGGGAGGGGCTGCCGGAGGCTGTGCCTGAGCCTGCTGCCCTTGGCCAAGGAGGTCCTTGGGACCACAGGTATGGGAACAGCAAAAGGTAAAGATGCTTCGAATCTTTCTGGAAACCATTTGAGCTATGAAGATCCAGAAAGTCTGCACATGTGTTTTTGACCTAGAAATCAGGACAGCTGAGGAAGGTTCTAGAGCCAGGCGTCCACGGCAGCCTGCTGGTCAGGGCGACAGAGACGGCTGCTGCCCCTAGGGCTCCATGGGTAAAACCAGGGTCAGAGCTGTGAAGATTATCTTTAAATACATGAAGCCGCTCCAGGCCCGTCTCACGGCTTTAAGCCCTGCCTAGAACCCTCTCTAGAAGTAGCACTCCTAACTGCTAATATGAGTTCCAGGGCTGCAAGGAGTTTTCTTCCTTTCTTTTATCTGTGGGGTTTTTGTTTGTTTTTGAGACAGGGTCTCACTGTGTAGCCCAGGCTGGACTTGAAGCTGCAGTGATCTTCCAGCCTCAGCCTCGGCTTCCGCTGCCTGAGGATCACAGGCTTGTGCCACCATGGCTGGCCAAGGAATTTTGAATAATGTAGAGAAAAGTTTATTTTAAAATATTGGGGGTGGGGGGAGTTGATACACTATTGTGTCTACAAAGCCAGGCAGGGTGGCACAAGCCTGTAATTCCAGCACTTGGCTGAGGCAGGAGGATTGCAAGTTCAAATCCTACCTGGACAACTTGATGAGACCTTGTTTCAAAAACACAAAAGAATTATGTCTACAATGTAATCTAATCATAACAAATACAGAAAAATTGGGCTGGGGATTTACCTCAGTGGAGCCATGCCTGCCTCAAAAGTGCAAGGTCCTGAGTCTGATCCCCCATACTGGGAAAAAAAAAATCAGAAAAATCAATGATTCAAAATTTCCAGCTACCACGATGTGCCCTCTGGGTGACAGAATTACAACCTTTTTTCTTTACGGGTCAGTTTTTTCTAAATTGTTTTATTTTTTGATGGGTCTCACTGTGTTACCCAGGTGGATCTTGAACTTGTGGGTTTAAGCCATCCTCCTGCCTCAGCCTCTCCTAAGTAGCTGAGACTACAGGCGTGTGTCACTGTGACTGGCTGTTTTCCAAAATTTTCATCGTTAGCACATGGACTTCATCAAGGAAAACAAAAGAAAGAGAAGGAAAGAAAGAAAAGGAGGGAGGGGGAGAAGAAGGAAGTAAAAATCAAGCAAAGAAAGAAAACAGGCACGATAGCAATCCATTTGTCCAGTTGCAAAGCAGTCTACAAAAACAAAACGAAACAGGACACCAGGTGTGGTGGTGGCTTGAGCCTGTAGTCCCAGCACTCAGGAGGCTGAGGCAGGAGAGTCCCTGCTAGTTCATGGCCAGCCTGGACTATGGCCGGTCGTCTCCACAAACAGGGTGACTGTGCCTCCCTGTCAGCACCATGTGCCTAGTGCTGGCCTTGTTCTCTGTCAGTGTCATGGCTACTGCGGCGTGTGACTGCTGTTCAGTTTCCTCTCAGCCTAGCGTGTGGCACAGGACAGCGGGGACTGGGTGAGTTCCAGTCCCTTTTGGACCTAGGGAACCACGTGTCAGAGAGGGTACTGCGGGGCGGAATAAAAGCTGTGTCCGTCCTTCACTGGGTGGCTCTGAGGTGTTTATTTCCACAGCTGCTGCGCTGAGGGCTCTGGTGACAGCTCCTCACTGTCCTTGCTGCTGTGTCCTCACAGGGGAGAGCACAGGAGGTTCTCTGCCCCCAGACCCAGCGTCCTGACACTGTCGCCTTGAGGGATAGGGTTTCGAGGTGAATTTGGGAGACACACACATTGAGACCACGATCCAGAGAGAGGAGTGGAGGGTGCAGAGGTGGGGACAGAGGGGACAAGGTGGGTGGCTCAGGGCCTACCAAAGCCACAAATGGAGACTTAACATTTCAGTGGTTAGAAGCCCAGCTCAGTGGCACAAGCCTGTAATACCAGGATTTGAGAGGCTGAGGCAGGAGGATTCCAAGTTCAAATCACTTGGTGAGACCCTGTCCTAAAGTGAAAACTAAAAAGGGTAGGGGATGTGTCTCAGTGGTACAGCAGCGCTGGGTTCCATCCCCAGTGCTAAGAAAAGAAACTAACTTTTCAGGGGTTACCCAGTAGTGGTGGGGTCCTGGGAGGAGGCCAACCAGGTGCTTGGGGGACAGAGAATGTGTTTGTCCTCCAAAAATGCCGTGCCTGTAGAATTCAGTGCCACATGACAACATCTGTACCCCAGAAATATTTGAAGATTACTATAGTCATAAAATTATTTCAATATAAAAATTATATATATATATATATATATATTTTTGAGACAGCATCTCAATATGTACTTCAGGCTGGCCTCAGACTCATGGGAATCCTCCTACCTCAGCCTCCCAAGTGCTGGGATTACAGGTGTGCAGCACCACACCCAGGATCTTTTTTGTTTTTGAAAGGGTGGGCTGGTCCCCCTATGTTGCCCAGGCTGGTCTTGGATTCCTGGGCTCAAGCAATCCTCCTGCCTCATCCTCCCCAGTAGCTGGGAGTACAGGTTTGTGGCATGGGGTCCAGCAAAATGTCTGCTCTTAAGTCTACCTTTATTTTCTTGGAACTGTCCTAGGAAAACTGGCTATAACCTTGACCTAGTTTTACCAAATGAATTGGAGATTATTGATGAATACAAGCCAATCAAGGTTGGCAGTGAGGCTGAAGCAGTAGCTCAGTGGTAGAGCACATACTTAGCATACTTGGAACTTGGTTCAATCCCCAGCACCCCCCTCCCCAATTGGTAGACATCTGATGGAAGAAATTTGGATTTTTTTTTTTTGGTACCAGGAATTGAACTCAGGGCCTCACACTTGCCAAGCAGGTGCTGTACTGCTGAGCTACATTCCTAGCCCTCTTTTTATTTCTTTTCAATTTTTTTTTGTTTTTTGAGACAGGGTCTAGGTAGTTCAGGCTACCCTTGAACTCACTACGCAGCCCAGGCTGGTCTCAAACTCATAGTGATCCTCCTGCCTCAGCCTCCTGAGTGCTGGGATTACAGGGGTGTGGCACCACACCTATTATATTTCTTTTTAAATTTTGAGGGAGAGTCTTGCTAAATTGCCCAGCCTGGGTTTGAACTTGCAGTCCTCCCAGAGTGCTGGGATTACAGGTGTGTACCACCATACTTGGCTAGATTATTAGGGTTCTAAACTTAATCAAGGAGGAGACCCCATTTATATAATATGCCTGGCCAAAAATGCACTATAAATGGAAAGAAGTGAGCAGGGCACGGTGGTGCATGCCTGTAATCTCAGCACTTTGGGAGGCTGAGGCAGGCAGATCTCAAGTTCCCAGACTGAGTGACTTAGTGACATAGCAAGACCTTGTCTACAAATAAAAAAATAATAAAAAATGGCTAGGGATGCAGTCCAGTACAGATGCCCTGTGTTCATTACCCAGTACTAAGAAAGAAAGGGAGAAAGAAAGAAGGAAAGAAAGGAAGTAGTACACTCCATGACTGTATTAACATGAAGCAGTAAAATGCAACCTTAAGTTCTGAAAGTAGGCCGACCAATGACCCACAGCTTGTGCACAGGGTGCCCTGTGTCCGACACAATATTCAGAGAGCACTGTGCATCTCCGAGGTGCATAATTTAGCCAGAAATGAAAGTTAATTATAATCTGCATTAGACAGTGCCAATGACTGGGCTTATCTTCCTGTGTTGAAGACTGCTTGGGGGCAGCTTGAGTACTCACTGAAGCCACTTACAGAGCCGCGGGAGACTGCAGGAGTCACCTTTCCCTTCGAAAGCGACTGGGCCGGAAGTGGGCGGAGCCGCGTGTCTCCGGGGCCACAGACAGGTGAATCCGACTGACAGACTGACAACCCCGAAGGCCCGGCTTTCCGTGTTCACCCCAACCATAGTCTCAGGAAATTTTCCTAGTGCATTCGGGCCAGCAAAACACTCAACTTCGCTTTTAAAGAAGTAGTTCAAAAAAGCTCGCTAGGTATTTTCACCCTAGCTCGGTTCATATTTAAGCCCCCAGTGGCGACTGGATGCTGTCCCGGGGGCTGGAATCGCCTCGGCGTGGGCGGACGCCTCGCTCACTTCTCGTGCACGTGGCCTTTCTCCCGGCGCCCCTCTTCCTCTTCCATCGCTGAGACCTCTGAGAGCCTGATTTCCCCAAGAGCCTTCAGAGCGCAACCCACTGTGAACTCTGCCATCCCGAGCTGACTGACTGAATGATGTTCACCACTGCCGTTTCTTTGAAAGCTAAGGAAGCCCAGGGCACATCCACGTGAGCATCGGGGCCGGGTCCCTTGGAACACAGTCTGGGAGCCAAGAGCATCGGGTAGCCCAGTCCTCCCCAGTTCATCACAGCTGCAGTGGAAGCTGCCGGGCTGTAGACCACATGCAACTGCAAGAACTTCCGCCGGAGATGTCTTCTCTCTCGGGATCATCTGACCAGGACTTTTTTTTTTTTTTGGTACCAGGGATCGAACTCAGGTCCCTGTGTTTGTGCAGCAGGCAGCGAAACCACTGAGCTAAATCCCTGGCAGGATTTTTTTTTTTTTGGAGACAGGGTCTCACTACATAGTTCAGGCTGTCCTTGAACTCACAGTGATCCTCCTGCCTCAGCCTTCCGAGTGTGCTGGGGGTACAGGCATGTGCCAGCATGCCCAGCAAGATATAGCTTTTAAAGCCAGGCTTGGGGAGCACGCCTGTAACCCTAGCACTGGGGAGGCTGAGGCAGAAGGGTTGTGAGTTCCGGGTCAGCCTGGATGATATAGCAAGACCTTGCCTCAAAAAACCAAAAAACTAAAAAAAAAGGCTTTTGAAGACTGATTGAACACAAGGAACAGAATTGTCACGGAAAGATGGTGCAAGTACAGGAACACAGATAGAGCCAACTTTTCACTCAAACCTGGTACGAGCCAGGTCCACGGCAGAGACCTGCCTCTCCCAGGGGCCATCCTGTCCTCTGGCCTCACAGCTGCTACTCTGGTTACCAGAAAACTTCTTTTTGGAGACAGGCACTCACTATGTAGTGCAGGCTGGCCTCCTACTCGAGCTCTTCCTGCTTCAGCCTCCTGAGTGCTGGTATTGCTCTCAGGAAGCTTTTAATGGTTGGTATTTATAAGGGTCATGAAGCCTAGACCACTGAGAGGTAGGTTCTGGTTTTCTCCCTTGCTTCAGACCCGAAAGCGCTGTGATGTGATGCCCCCTCCAGCCTCTGGCCAAACTCCCCATCCCAAGCTCCCGGCACATGTTCTTGGAGCAGCAGCTGAGGTGCTCAGGGGCAGGTCGATGAGTCAGTTCCAGGAGTAACCCACAGCCCAGCTCCTCCACTGCAGAAGTATCTTTTTGCCCAGGGCCAGCACAGGTTCAGGCGCCAGAGAAAGGAGGGATGGAAGCCGTGCCATGCTAAAGATGTAGGAATATTTTAATTCATGTTTAATTACATTATGAAATAATATCACAGTCTATTTTACAAGTTAAATGTATGAGATGTACGAAATAGAAATGGTAGGAAAAAGCTAAACATAGGGGAGAAAGGTGAAGTTTTTCGAAAACCCAGGGCCAAAGGAAGCCTCAGCCAAGGCGGTGGCGGCAGGTGACAGGGACCGCTGTTCCCCGGTTCGTGCCAGGACAGACTCCGGCCGTGCCCTCCCGTCTGGGTGGAGCGGCCCGGGCAGTGGGAGGTGGCAGCTGGGGAGAAAGAGCCAGTTACCTATGCAGGGCGCCCCCGGTGTGGGGGGTCTGTGTTGGGGAGTCGGGCCGAGGGGTCAAAACTCAAAAGCGGAGAAAAAAGGAAACAGTTTCCTCCTCCCCCCAAGCCCCAAAGTCGTGAAGTGCACACACATTCTTCGCTCAAATGTAGAAAAGTCTCACTCTGGATGTGCTTACGAGAAGGTCGTCGTCAAAAAACTTTGTTTCTATGATGACATTCCCGCTGCGAGAGGAGAAAGGAGAGAGGCAAGTGACAGGGTGAGCAAGGGCTTCCGGCCGGGTTCCCCGAGGTGGCACCAACCAGAATGTGAGCTCAGGGCCATGTACACCCCAAAGCTGTCCTGGCTCCAACCCCCCAATCAGAGCACACTGCATGGGGAGGGCCCCGCTGTCCCTACAGCGCCAGGAGCCCAGCCCTGGCTGGCTTGGAGAGAGAGCATCTTTCCAGCCACCCACCCGTCCGTCTGTCTGCCTGGGCCCCTCTCGCTCCCTGCTCCCTTTGTCGGCCATGGCCTGTTTTCATGGCTCCCAGCCCTGCACTGGATTCCTGGATTTGCAGGGGAATCCATGGTTCTGGGAGGGCCTCTCTTCATGCCTGATGGCTATAGTGGGAGGGACTGGGACCTGGCCAACCACTCACCCTGAATCACCGGCAACTGTTTTTGGGTGTTCTCAAAAGTTAAGCAACACTGTATTTTTGTGGACTCTAAAAACGAAGACAGGACATAGCTCGAAGATGATCTCACAGATTGACTGGTTTTAGTACTTGAAAGAAATCAGGGCTGGCCCAGAAGTCAAATGAAGGTTAATAAACCAGGTGTGGTGGCACATGCCTGGAATCCCAGCACTTGGGAGGCTGAGGCAGGAAGATCGCCCAAAAGTTCAAGGCCAACCTGGATACATAGTAAGTTCAATGCCAGTCTGAACTACATAGCAAGACCCTATATCAAAATACAAAACCAAAAAAAGAAAGTCAATAAAGTATACAAAAAGCACGCCCTCCTGGGGCTGGGGTCCATCTCCAGCACTGAAAAAGCAATCCCTCCTGTACCACCCTACGCTTCCCAGGTTAGTTAATTATCAGAAGCAACATTTCTCTCGTAATTAATCATAAAATAGGTAACCAAGGTGCTCAGAATTGGATGAGCCAAGTCCAGGGATTTAGCTCAGTGGTGCTGCTGCCTGCCTCACAAGTGCAAGGTCCCCAGTTCGATCCCCGGTAAGCCCCCCCCCCAAAAAAAAGAATTGGACGAGCCGATGTGGTACAGTACACCAGTAGTGCGCGTGGCTGGTATGTGCATGGTGCTGGTCTGATTCCCAGCAACACATGCTTGTGCACATGCGTGCACGCGCGCACACGCGCACACACACACACGTTACTACTGTAATGAAAAATCTGATTTTTTTGGTACCGGGGATGGAACTCAGGACCTTGCACTTTCGAGGCAGCCGCGGCGCCACTGAGCTAAATCCCCAGCCCTGTAATGAAAAATCTATTGAAGAAAAAACTTATTAAAAAATAAAGTTAAAAATAAATCTCTTTACATATTTGATGTGGATTTTATAAAGAACCTGTGGAAAGAGATGATTTGATATTACACAATTATCTTTGGCCAATTATCTTTTTAGCCTTTAAAAACTCTGCTCAGATATTCCTTCACTCTTATTTCCTCAATTATCTGTGGGACTAATTCTTTTTTTGGGGGGACTAATTCTCTAGAAGGCACTTAGGGTTACTAAAACTTATTATTGTTGTTTTTGAGATAGGGTCTCGACCTGTAGCCCAAGGTCTTGCTGGCCTTGGCGATTCTCCTGCCTCAGCCTCCCGAATGCTGGGAGTACAGGCACATAGTATCACACCCAGAGAATTAATTATTATTTTTTGTAGTGTCAGGGAACCCAGGGCCTTGTGCTTGCCAGACAAGCTCTACCAGTGAGCTACCCTCCTAGCCCTACTAAAAATTTGAAACAGTAATATCTTTTCCCAAGAGCAAATGGTAGGTGGGCAGTTACTGACAGTGTTTTTGGACAAAGGACAAATTAACTGTTCTCTGAGCAGGAGGTGTAACTATTAAATTATAAGCGAGGCTCTGAAAATATGTGGCCAACTATTTTCCTCTAGGACAGCATTAGGACTGGCAGGTTGTGTTGTGGTGACCCAAAGCCTGGGGATGCCAGGCAGGAGGGAGCCAGTCCCCTCCCTGGTCCGGCGGGGATCTCTGCGGTGAAGGCCTCAGGCTGGGGTGTCTGTCATTGACAGGATGGCAGGCAGGCGGGTGCATCAGGGGTCCTGGTCTCATCTGATTCTGTCTGCCCCGCCATGCCATCCTTTTTCATGGAGGAGGACCAGCCCCAGATTTCTCGGCCTAGCTCCCCGACCTGGACCGCACCGCCCGCAAGGGGCTGCCCAGCGCCTGTGTGGCTCTCCGCGCTGCACTCACGTGAGGACGCTGGCAGGCATCATCTGGGACTCAGGGGCGGCCTCTATCAAGGATTGCCAGGTGTTTGTGGAGTTGGGGATCACAAAACCAAACTCGAAGAACCACTCTGACGGAGAAAGGAGAGGCTGGGTGAGCAGACGTCCCGTTTAAAGTTTAAGGGACCTTTGTCCCCTTCCCTTAGAGAGGTCCTTGACCTGGCCAGACCACTAAAGGCTGCTCTCGGAAACAGAGCAGAGGCATCTGAGAGACAGAGCCTGCTGGGCTGCCCTGAACCTGCAGCCCCTGCTCCTCCTTCCGCCCTGGGGCCCAAGGAACGAGGCCCAGCGGGCGGGTGCTTAGGCGTAGGCCGGCTGTGACCAAACCCCACAGCCTTCCCCTGGACCCTCAGCCCTGCTGGCTGCTGCGCCCTGGCACACTTCAGGTGACAGCTCAGAGGCCACTCAACTCCTATGATGCTGCATGTGCCCCTGTCCCAGGCCCTGGCCACAGCTGCTTCCTGCCAGGCCACGCCACACGGGCCACCTGCACCCGGGCTCCCAGAGTCGGAGACACTGAGGCCTCCTCGCTTTGCTTTGTTTCACGGGGGCTCTCAGGCTCTCCGACAAACTGAGCTGTGAAATGACTGCTTTCCGAGCCTGAGTTGAGAGCGTAATACCTTCTAGGCACTGGCCTTTGAAGTAAACCTTTTGTTCCAGGCGAAACTTTTCCATTTGCTCTGCTGAGGAGAAGTTCAGCTCTCGAGACACCGCTTTGCACTTGAGGATTTTCTTGGGAACACGGGCTGATGAGAGAAAAAGAAACGGAACCACATGACGCTGGTGCCATCGGAGCCCTGATCTGTAGATGACATTTCAGGCCACCCTGTGCCCAGGGGGCCCTCCCAGGGTCCCCAGTCAACAGGCCAGGCCAGCGCCCTCTCTGCTCGCCTCTCTCTTTACCTCAGCTTTTACTGCAGGGTGATAAAAATGCAAATTTTCTTTTGGGCTAAAAGCTGAGATGCTGGTTTGTATCTAGGTATGTTCTGATGCTGAGATGGGTTTTGGGGGATTTTGGCATAGGAGAAGGAAATGTGAGGGCCTGGCCACGACAACAGCAGTGGCAGATCTGTCTGCCACCTGAGGCCTCCCACCCCTTTGGTGGCCCCAACTCAGCCCCTGGGCCCAGGATCTCTGGTCACAGCCTGCACAGCCAGCAGGACAGACCTTCATGTTCCACGCCGGGGATGGACAGATCTTCTGTTCCTTGCCAGAGAATCTTCCCTGTCTCAGCATCCCGCAGGTTCATCCAATTGCTGATCAGCGGGATTAAGGAAAGAGGGTGGGAAGTGGCTCCTAGTTTGGAATCTCAGATAAGCTCTACCAGCTCTTGTTTACTTTTTTTTTCCGTTTTATTGGCGATATCACCAAGCCAAGGCCTCATGCATGCCAGGTGCTCTCCCCCGAGCTACAGTCTCCAGGCCTTTAAATGTTTTTTATTTTGTTTTTTTGGCTTTTTGAGACAAGGTTTTGCTATGTAGCCCAGGCCGGTCTTGAAATCACTATGTAGCCCAGGCTGGCCTCAAACCCGTGGCAATCCTCCTGCCTCAGCCTCCCGAGTCCTGGGATTATAGGCATGCACCTGTAAACCATTCCTGCCCATTTTTGTGTTTTTGAGAGAATTTTCCTGTGTAGCCCAGACTAGCCTCAAACTAGAGATCCTCTTTGGAGGAGTTTCACCTTCACCTGGGATGTTGTCTCCTGGCTTCTAGGACAGAAACTTCGGCCTCTCAATAGGGACTCAAACAGGATGCTACAGTGAGCTCCAGGTCTTTGACTGGATCCTTTGGATCATGAGTGTGCAGACGGAACTTCTGCACACCTCCACACCTCACTCTGTGGGCAGCGATTGTAAGCCAATCTTGTACATTTTTATATATTTGTATACCTTACATGAAATCTGTTTCTCTAGTAAAAAAAACCACTAGAGATCTTCCTGCCACAGCCGCCTGTGGGATTACAGGTGTGCCCCACCATGCCCAGCTAAAACATTTTGCTTTAACAGCTTTTTGCTAACCAGATTTTTCAGAGAAAAGGAGTTTGCATTTTAAGACTCAAAGGTCAGGCCATCTCCAGTCGTGAGAGAGGAGGATTAGGTAGAGAAGCTCTAAAGGAGGGGCTGGGGTACTATTTATAAACACTGCCCTCTGGGTCAGCTGGGTCTTTGCTCATCTAAAGCTCCCTGTTGATGTGCAGGGCAGATGGGCACTGAGGGCACTGCATTACTTCGGGGAGCCCCCGGCAGCGGAGCGGTGCTCTTGGTATTGGGAGCTTCTTGTTTGGAACCTGGCAGAATAAAAATGCATTCTGACAGATGAATGTAAAATCATCTCAAAATAAACAGTGGAGCAAATCAGTAAGCTTCAGAGCAAAACCAATAGTCTGCAGGGCTGGGGATTTAGCTCAGTGGTTTCGCCACCTGCTGCACAAGTGCAAGGACCCAAGTTCGATCCTGGTACCAAAAAAACCCAAAAAACAAAAAAACCCCAATAGTCTGCAAAGTGTAAAGCCTCGGAAAGGTAAAAAGCAAGTAAACATCCCATAAACACTGTGCAAGAATGGGAGAGGCTGGGGGCACCTGGAAGCCTCCACTCGTGTGTGTGTGTGTGTGTGTGTGTGTGTGTGTGTGTGTGTGTGTGTCTGTAGCTGGTAACAACTGAGGCATGAGGGGCAGGGAGCGGGTGGGCAGCGCCATGGGGAAGGGACACTTGGGGACTGGAATTCGGTGAATGGGGTGCTAGATTTCCTTGAGAGGTGACCACGGGAAATAGGATAAAAGCATTTAAAATATTTAAGCCACACATGGTGGCATACACCTGTAATCCCTGCACTCCGGGAGGCTGATGGAAGTTTGAACCTAGCCTGGGCAATTTAGCAATTTAGTGAGACCCTGACTCACTGAGATCCTCCTGCCTCTGCTTCCCAAGTGCTGGGATTACAGGCATGCGCCACCACGCTGGGGCTCTCAACATCAGTCTTACTAACAAACAGACCCACTGTACATCCCAGCACGACACGGGGCCAGTTGAAGGAAGGAGTAGATGCGTTGGGAGCAGGGAAGTACAGGGAGGGAGAGTGAGGGAGGCAAAGTGGGGACAGAAGAGAAACAGGGACACACAGAAGGATGCAAAGCAGGCTTCGAGAGCGATGAAAAAGACAAGGAGAAGACACAGCTAAAATGCCACGTAGGACCCAGAGCCGAGACAGGGCCAGGACAGGCAGGCCCAGAGGCGCCCCAACGGGGTCCCTGCACTCTCACCTCAGACAGTTCTCTCAGAGCTCCACAGGATGCTCTGAAACTGAGGGGCAGAGGGGAAGGAAGTTGGGCCTCCCCACCCCGAAGCACTTGGGTCCTACACGGTTAGAGGACAGCTTCCACCCGGTGCTCAGCACAGGGCCTGGGCCTTAGGACGCCGTCTGCTAGCTGTTATTATTCACGATCACTCATTATCCTTTCCCATCTGACCCCTGACTGGTTTTCCCTGTGTTCATTCTTGTCTTGTTGCCCATTTATTTACCCAACTATTTATTTATATCAGTCTAGCTGGTTTTATTATCAGTGACTGTGCTCTGATGCTACATGTTTATCGTCAATGTGAAAGAATTTCAACATTAAGCATTCTGGTTATTTGGGGGCTGGGGATTCTGCTCCCTGGCACTGCACCTGCCTTGAAAGTATAAGGTCCTGAGTTTGAACCCTGTACTGGGAAAAAAGAAAAAAACACATTTATTTGGGTTTTTTTGTTTGTTTTGAGACAGGGTCTTGCTATGAAGCCCAGGCTGGCCTCAACCTGTGGCAATCCCCCTGCTTCAGCCTCTCAAGTGCTGGGATTACGGGAGTGAGCCACCATGTCCAGCTTTGATCATTTTTAAGGGGAATGTTATCATTACAAGTACTAAATAGAGCCTCCTTTTATTTTCCTATTATTTTTAGAGAGTTTTTAGCTTTTAAGAATTAATGAGTGTTAGACCTGGGGATTTAGCTCAGTGGTGCCACTGCCTGCCTGGGAAGCGCAAGGTTCTGAGTTCAATCCCTGACACCAAAAAAAAAAATTAATGAGTGTTTCTTTTTTGTTTTTGTTTTTGACAAGGTCTTGCTGTGTAATGTAGGCTGATCCTGAATTCACTATGTAGTCCAGGCTGGCCTCGAACTTGTGGCTTGAACTCGTGCCTCAACTTCTTGAGTACTGGCATTACAGGCTTGTGCCACCACGTCTGGCTTTGGATTTTATTTTTAAATTGTATAATTTGCTGGGCATGGTGGTGCAGACCTGTGATCCCAGAACTTGGGAGACTGAGGCAGGAGGATCGCCATGAGTTCAAGGCTAGCCTGGGCTACATAGCAAGACTCTGTTTCAAAAAAAAAATGTGTAAGTTATTTTCTTGTAAAAAAAAAAAAAAAAAAGGTTTCACCTAAAAAATTAGTATTTATCTGTATGCTGGTAATTTGAAGGTACACATTTCACTAGAATAAGATGTGATATGCTTACTTTTTTTTTTTGGTACCAGGGATCGAACTCTGGACTTTGAGCTTGCAAGGCAGGTGGCAGAACCACTGAGCTAAATCCCTGGCCCATGATATGCTTACTTTAAGAGCACAGAGTATATTTTTCTATACCAGTGAATTTAATTTGGGGAATTTAAAAGCAGTCATGTGAAAACGAAGATTTGGGTAAGTTAAATGATTTTAAGAGCTCTACAAGAACTGACTTTTTTTTTGGTAGCAAGGATTGAACTCAAGACCTTTGAGGCACATGGCAGAACCACTGAACTAAACCCCAGGCCCCCTGACTTATTGAAAGGCACTAAGTGAGCCGTTTTATAAGTCAAGTAAAACTTCTGCTAATAATAGTGTTACAAACTCTACCTGGAGGGCTGGGGCACAGCACAGCGGTCGAGTGGTTGCCTAGTGGCTCACCAGGGCTCTCAGGTCAGGAGGCATCCCCAGCCCTCCAGAACTCTCCTCTCAGTTCTCCTTCAGTTACACATTTTCCTTCTTCTTCTTTTTTTAAACCAAATCATCTGAGAAGCATCACTGCTGTACCAGCGGCACTTTAGAATAAGCACATACTTTAAATTTTACCTTGAGCAGGTGAGAAGATCAAACTATCTGTATCTATGACAACTTCTGGGCCGCACTGACCGTGGCACCAGGAGAGCCCACAATCCCATGATGAATCTGCGGTGTCTGGTGGGGTGGCCTCCATCAGCTTGTCCCTGTCACCATTATTTTCCTGTCTCAGTCTGGGAGGGGAGCAAACTGGTAACAACAGCAGAGGCCCTGGCTTCTCCCCTGCCATTCTGCTGCTGTCTGGACACGGTGGGACCAGAGATGCAGCTCACCCAATAGTGGGGTGGCGGCTGGGCCAGCTACCTGGGGACACAGGGCTCTCTGAGAGAGGATGCACAAAGGGAATTTGGCAGAGCTGGCTCAGCCGGGAAGTCCAGAGTCCCTGTGACCCTTTCCCTTGCTCTTTTGTTTTTTTTTTAATTTAAAGGAACCTATTGAAATTAATCTCTCTCTTTCATACTTTGGAGTGCTGGCCATCTTACCCTGGGTCTCATGGATGCTAGGCAAATGCTCTACCCCTGAGGCACGCCCCAGCCCTAAACAATTTTTTTTTTTTTTGAGACAGGGTCTCATTATATAGCCCAGGCTGGCCTTGAACTTGCAGCAGTCTTCTTGCCTGAGCCTGAGTGCTGGGATTACAGGCGTGCACTGCCATGCCTGGCTCCTAAACATTTTTTTGATTGACATATATTTACTATTGGCTGGTCCTGACTGTAAATAATGCAGCTGAAAAGCAGCAGGTTCCAGCACTGTGTATTCATCAGATGAACTCTGGAAAATTAGAGAGCACAGGGGTCCAGGAAAAGCAGTAGTTAGTAGCACTACTGCAGTGCTGACTCCTTGCTTTTTTTTGGTACTGGGGATCAAACTTGGGACCTTGTGCTTTCGAGGCAGGCGGTGGAACCACTGAGCTAAATCCTGGGCCTGATAAAGTTAAATCAAATGAAAAATACTTATAATATGACAAGGAAAGGGACAATGTCTTTACTATAAGAAATATCTATACAAGAAAGAAGCCAGATGAGGTGGTGCATGCCTTAATCCCAGAACTCTGGGAGGCTGAGGCAGGAAGATTGAAAATGGAGCCTAGTCTAAGCAATTCAGTGATTTAGGAAGACCCTGTTTTAAAATGAAAAGGGAGCAGGGCATGGTGGTGCACGCCTGTAATCCCAGCACTGGGGAGGC